TTTTGTAAACAACCTTAACCACCTGTTACAGTTTTCTGTTAAATTCTGTTTTGAACTGCCTGTACGGTGACTCGTTTTCTGCTCTGTAGGACGAATTTTTCCTGCCTTGATTGAGGGTTCTTGAAGTGTGGCGACAAAAATAGCCTGGCCAATCACAGGCATACGAAAAGTCGGACAAAAAATAACATGACAAAATAACAAAATGATGAATTCCAATCGAATGGTCAATAGACAATTTACCCTTTACCAATTATAAATAGTTATTTATTATACAAGACGGTAAAAAGATGCTTTACCTGTGAGTGGAAAATTCAATGTGGCGTGGCGGCCAAGCAAGTTTGTTTTGAATATGTTTTTATGCGTATTTTAAATTATTTTGCATACAGTTTTGCTTACAACTTTGATTTTCATTATTTAATAAAATATTTGTTGACTAGGTACCTAAACTATTAATTCGAGCAGAAACTAGATATTTTTTTGTGTTTTTTGGCCCATGTGTGGCCGCCACGCCATCTTGAATGTCACGTGGTTTGAATTGCCTAATTATTATAAAAGATTTGAACAAGTGGGTAAAATTGAGGTATGAGTGGGCAAAATTGACGTATGAGTGGGTAAAATTGACGTATGAGTGGGTAAAATTGACAAATGAGTGAGTAAAAATTGTTCGATTTCACTACTTCAAATAAAGTGTTACTTTAACAACGAGTTTTGAGTCGATTAAATGATAGTTTACCATTCGCGATAGAATAAAATATTTAAATAGTAAGTATTGAACACCGACCATAAACAAGCTTTTTGTTAGGTTAAAATAAGATTTTAAAATACGTTTATTGAGCGGTAGATGTCGCCTGCCACTTTTACGTGCATCACGTGCTACATCACCATGCCAGAAATTTAAAAAGATTTTGAGATTTAACGCAGCTGCCTTTCTCCCCTTCTTAAACCCAATTAAATTTAAACATTTTTTCTTTCAGGTATCGGAGAAAGCTATGAAGTTTAGAGACATCTTTTTTTGAAGCCTGAAAGGTTTATTAAACTTTTATTGCAGTTTTAAGCTTAACTTTCGCACTCCCTTCATACAGCTCAATTCCTTCTTCGTAGGTTAAGATAAAGCCAAACAGTTTTCAGATCTTTCTTAAACCAAAATAGCTTCAAGCTAGAAATGTTTGCAGCATTATTACGGCTACTTTAAAACTATTCGCGATTTTAATGCTAAAAGGCTGTAATATTAGGTGCTTACAATGTTGTTACAGCTCTTCAATAAAACACAATAGTTTTAAAATAGTAAGCTTCTAATTTTACATTCTTAAAGCTTTCATATAACCTAGATAATGCCAAAAAGCATTTAAAATGTTACTTGGGACGTATGCAGCAACCTGTGCAGCAACTATCAAACTGATATTTTGATGATCCATTCACATATAGTAAAAGAACTTATGCAGTTATGCACCTTTTCCTTGGATAAAAAAAAAAAAAGATGAATCTTCTTATGCCATAAAAATCACCATGATATGCAGAAGTTCAGCAGCAGTGCAGTAGTATCACGTTACAACTGAACTCACAGACTGTTTTTTCCTTCTCCAGGAAAGATTTAATGCTTATACGCCCCTCTGATAGGTATGGGAAATGCCACTAAAAAACTATCTTTCCGATTATATAATCCGTTTTTTTTTTTTGAAATGAATGGGGAAAATAAGACTTTAGATTTTTTTCTGTTCAGATGAAACAATATACTGGTCACTTATTTTGTTTTCGGAAATGTGGTGAGCGTAAACATAGCTACTTCCAATATATCAATTTTTACGTACACCATTAACATTAATATTTGACTTTTGTTCACTGGCCTATTTTCAAGGTATGGGAAAATAAAAGTTTTTTTTTTGGAAGATTGGTTAACCCTTTGGGTTAATCTTTTTCAGTTTTGTAATGTTATAGCTAACTTAACTGATAAAAATAGGTACTGAGTATGCTAAAGCATAGGCTTGATGGCGCCACTTTGACACTCTATATCTCGAAAACTACTCGATGTACCCCCCTTTTTTTTTGCACGTAAACTATAAGGGCAACATGGACTACATCATATAAAAAATTCAGACATTTTGACCGAAACCGATTTTCTGTGTATTTAGTGCCTCGTACTTTCTGCCACAGGTTAATTTACTTGTGAAACTGAATTGATAATGAATCTGGCAACTTTACATCAAGCTAACATCATTATAAAGCTTCAACATAGGGATATTTTCCTTTGAAAATATATATAAAGATAATCCCAGAGAAAAATCTTCTTTATACCTAGTTAGATTTCAGTAAAACGAAAATACATATAATATTGTTGGTGAAATCGTCTCATACTCATTTCAGTCTCTTTACAATATTCATTAGAGTAAACATATACAATATTCAATCCTTATACAAATCCCTCGAGACAAGTTCCCCAGCTATATAGTCGATAAACTTGCATCCGAGTAAACACAGTTACCTATCCCTTCTTGTTAAAAGACAAACTTGCCGATGTATATTCAGCACCAAGAATAACAAACAGTACGTCCCTGACTTCGGGTTTAGTTTGTTTATTGTAAGAGATAAACTAAATATAGATATTATGTTATCGGTACCTTCTGAGCCCACGATTCAACGAACCCATAGATTCCAAAGGCGTGTCAAGATTATCTCTAAGATTCTCGTTTCTAGGGGTAACAACTCAACTCGTCACGTTTTCGGTTAATGTTTACTTTTAGATTTTAATTCTATAAAATTTTACTTCTTCAAATCAAAAGATTTATTATCTGTGAAAATACACAAATCATTACGTTATGAGGTTAATCTTGTCGAATTATAAAATATTGCCTAATTAAAAATATAAACCGATAGACGATGCGCCATTATCGAAAAGTCAAACACCCAGATTAAAATATCTCGGATCAGCATCACCTTTCTAAATAAACAAAACGCTAAAAGTGGAAAGTGAGACGGTTGAATAAACAATTAAAGAGTTAAGATAGTGTTTGGTCTTGGGCAAATATAAACTGATGAATTTGGCCTCTTAGATTACCTGATTTAACAACTGCTGAGTTTTGTTTTTTGATAGTCGAAATATCAGTTTCTGAATCCTTGGAAGATTCAGCTTAAATTATTGAGTTACATACAACTCAAGTATAATATGTCCAACATCGAAATGAAAAACCTAAAAATTTCCATTGTGTATATCTACTACTTTAATGGTTCTTAGTTTAAAATGTTATACACAATCTGAATCATTTTGCGGCGCCTATAAATCAATTATTAAGAGTCACGAGTTGTCGGTACCTACGTGACGAATCTCAACAAAGTAAGTTGCGAAATAATTGTTAAATTACAAATTTATATTTTATGTTTTTAAGGCGCCATGTATTTAGATAAGAAACATGAATCATAAAATCGATTTTTGCATTATTGATTTATTATAAATTATTTGGAAGCTACAGGATTAGACTTTGCTAAAAGTCCAATTCAAAGACTACACGACAAACTCTATAAATAAAAGTTCCTTTACACAACGATTTTTCTCCAAAATGTATCAAAGTTTATAAATTAATTTTATTAAAATATTTCTCAACCCTCCTAATTGAGGTAAAATGAAAAAAAAGTTTCAGTTTTGCTCGTCCAAAAGTTATAAAGCGATAAAATCTTCAAACTATGAAAGAGTTTTGTCAGTTTGAAATTACTTGAAACTTCTCACTGGAAAATGTTAAAATTAGGATTCAAGCAAAAGAGTCTGTTTTCAATAATAACGCCTTCAACTGGTCATAAATACTGTGGAATTTCGCGGCTATTAAGACATTCTTTTACCTGAGCAGAACTGCAAAAGGTGCAGTTTCCAATAATAATTCCGTTCTAAGAAGCAACTAAACAAAGAATGTATTGACACCCAGACAGAAAGCTTTTATCTTATTGGAACTTGAAGCTTTTGCATTATTAAAATTTAATCTTAATACTAAATAATATAAATTCAATCATAGGCAATTTTATAAGGAAATCTTAATCATTTTTACACCTAATATATAACAAAGGAACTGGGTTTATTACTAAAATAAAAGTAATAAAATATAAACAAATAAAACTGATTTACATCCAGCAATAAAGGTTATAGTTTCTCACCGAAAGCAAAACCAGTCCCCTTCTTTGCCTTAATTTAATAAAACAAGTTAGGGTCATCAAAATCGAATGACCGACTAACTTGAAAATCGAGTGGGCCTAAATACGGACAAAAGTGAGGCCAAAGCCCGGGTTCATTAATTCAACGCCTTTCTGGGCATCAGAAATTATTGTTTTTGGTTTTCTGATGCATTATGTCTGGTTTGTTGACTTCTTGTCTCAGGTTTTGTTTGTTTTTTTATTTCGATTTATGTTAATATTTTCATGGCAAATTTTAAATTTATGAAGTTGCAACTGCATGGCTGGCAAGTTTTTTATTAAGAATGTATGTACCAACTGTTAGGAATTAATCAGTGAATAAAATAATTGATTTATTACAGACATCGTTATTATTGCTCTGTGCTTGGGTATTTAAGAAAGACATTACAGAATGCACATGGCAGTTTATTAAAAGTGAGAGAAAGAATAATAAATTATTCATATCATCAATTTTAAGAGGTTAATAATTCCACTCTTACTTCAGAAGAAAAGGAATAATAATAGAGAACCTTAAATTACTTCGTTATGATCTTTTTTGATTAGTCTCTAATACCTACGTGTGTTAAATACGGCCTTATTTTCTGGTTCAACCTTTTGTTTTTGTCACCAGTTCTTATTTTATAATTGTAAAAATGTCATTATGGTAAAGTTGTCAATAAACGTTAAAAAATTGTCAAGAAGTCTCTAATTTGTGTCACAGATTTGTACGGGTCTAGAAGCCAGACAGAACTAAAAATTTAACATTGATCCTTCGAGCCGCCGAACTTGTTCTCTAGAAAAAGATATCAGTGAAACTCGCAAAAAAAAATCCCTTATGCAGAAAACCAATGAGACAGGTAGAAAAAAACGTGAACCTTCAGGCTTCAAATTCTGAAATTAGAAGAAAGATGATTGAATTAGAGGCTGAGAAAAAGAAATTTAATCTGGAAAACAGAATGTTCGAAATGGAAAAGAACAAGTTAGAGTTTGAAATGCAAATAGAAAGAAAAAAGTGTGCACAAGAACAAAAGGTAATAGAATTAGAAACTGCTATATAACAAGCAGAAGTCTTAGACAGTGAGACAAGGTCAGTAGAAAATTGTAAAGTTAGTCAAAGTTCAAAGTACACACATAAAATTGTATTTTCACCAGCATCTACAAACTTAAAAAATATTGGTTGTATAACCGCATATGCAGAAAGTTCTGAGGTTCATTTAAAAAAAAAAATTGTAGAGAATTGGATAGAAAATCTTAACATCTAAAAATCAGACATTGCTGTATCTGATGATAGTGAAGTGATGTCAAAAAAGATAGATCAGAAGTAAACCAGTTATGTGACACTCTTAACAAATTTTTATTGAATGTCGACAATATGCAAAGAAACGAATGCAGATGAACAGCCTGAATATAAGTATTCTGGAAGAAGTCACATAATGGAAAAGGACTTTCCATTCTTCGACAGACGACCAGAGGATTGGCCTACTTTCATTTACTTGTTCAGGAGGATTTCAGCACTATGTGAGTACACCTCAGAGGAATCGATAATTAAACTTCAAAAATGTTTAAGGGGGGAGGCAAGAAACGTAGTAGCAGGAATGCTAATAAGTCCTAAAAATTTAGAGCAAGTCTTTAAGACATTAGAGCTAAGATTTGGCAGACCAGAACAGATTATTGAGACTATGCTATATAGAATAAAAAGTTTTGCTAAAATAAGAGAAAATGAAATGAACAGTCTTATTCGGTTTTTTACACACATCAGTAATTTGGTCAGTACAATAAAATGTTTAGATTTTGAAAGAAGCTGTTCAAAAATTACCAAACACAATGAAACTTTGCCGGGGGGAGGAAGTTTACACGTGCACACAAGAAATCTCCAACATTTTCCTCAGTGGTTAGAGAAAATGGCAAATGTACCTTGTTGTATTTTACCTACAAAAACCACACATTCAAGATTTCCAAGACAAGAACATTCACAGTCAAATCATGAAAAAGCCTTAACGATTTCAACCAGGTGAATACGCTTACAAATCCGATGATGTAGATATACAAGATGGAAAGTAATTACTAATAGGAAGCTCTGTTTCTCATGCTTGAAGAGTAGTCATCATATCACGAAATGCAAATCCAGAAAATCCTGTGGAGTACTACATTGATCAGCATTCAAATATACCCAGAACAAATTTTTCCTTTCATATTTGTGAACCTGAAATATACGACGAAGAATTACATCAACTAGTAAGACATTCATTTTCGACCGACGATTTTGGAGTTTCCAACGTATCGTCAGTTAACATTAAAGAGAAGAAAGCATTGGACATTATGACGCAGACAGCACGACAAGTTGACAACAGATATGAAATTGGACTATTATGGAAAGCCGATATTTTAAATTTACCTGAAACTAAGTTAGCAGCGATCCGAAGACTTAACTGCATAAAATGGAAAATGGAAAAGGACCCTACCCTGAGACTAAAATATGGTAACTAAATTAAAAGCTACGTTGAAAAAGGATATGCTAGAGAGTTGACAGACAAACACCCAGTTTCACAATGTGTAGTCACCAAATGGTTAAACGAAGACCAAAGGTTAATGAACAAAAAGTTTTTCACATCATCTGGTCAAGCACCATTTTTCAGTTAACTACAAGTTTAGTTGACCATAAGAAAATTATGTGGTTGAAATTAAAACCAGAAAGGACCTAACCACAATTTTGGTAAACGTCTTGCCAAGTCTTGTCTTGTTGATGTGTTGTTTTCAGACGCTCAGTTATTTTGCGCAGGCCGACTGTGCAAACCTGGTTTGTGCAGGCATATCGGCACGTCCGTGGATACTTGCGTACTTCCAGCACGTCTGTGGATACTAAAGTAAAGACTATAGTGATAGGAACAAGAAATCGGCTGCCTATGAAGTATTCTTATTTATTGCACAAGCAAGCAGAATACAAGACTATAAGCTGTATTGTGAGAAGCCATTTTCACTGGGAAAGAAAAATACGTTTGAACTGCGTTCTTCATCCTGTTTGGAAAGAACTGAGCGTGTGTGCGACAGGCACAGGTACAGGGTGTTTTTTTTATGTATTGACACCCTACCTACAGCCCTTACCTTTACAGGTAGAAGAAAGGTGTAAATACAAAAGTTGTACAGTTTTGACTGAATTTTTAGAAACCATGGTCAGAAACAAAATTTGAATGTCGGAAATGTGAAATATTAAATGCTTCCAGTTTTTTCCAAATGGGATGCCCTATATCTCATTCTATATTTTTGCGGAGCACAATGCCCCGATTCCAAAAATATATAGTTTGTTTATATTTGATTGAACAATCTCTCATATATTCGGCTCCAAAAATTGTAAAAATACTATCTTACTGCTGATTTTGTGAACTATTCTACCTGTATGTACAGGTGAAAGCTGCAAGTAAAATTTGAGGTACTTGGTTTCTCTGATAGTATTTTTAAAATTTTTAGAACCAAATATGCTGGAGATGGCTCAACCAAATATAGACAAAGTATATAGTTTTGGAATCGGGAAATTGTTCTCTCCAAGAATATAAAGCCAAATATAGGGCATGCTATTTGAAAAAAGTTGAAAGCATTTCACATTTCTAACATTCAATTTTTGTTTCTGACCATGGATTTTAAAAATTCAGCCAATACTGTACAACTTTTGTATTTACACCTTTCATCTACCTGTAAAAGTAAAGGCTGTAAATGGGGTGTCAAAACACCCTGTATTTGAACAATAACTTATTATGTAAAGTCAGAATTTGTAAGATTATCCACTTTTTGTCAATTTGCCTTTTAACAGGAATTAGTAATGTTACCTACTTTACCAAACTAGTAACATAATGTAACAAGTTATTCAAGTACAAACGAGTGGATTGTTGCGGAACTTATAGGTGGATTCTCTATTCACCAATATGTTATTCAAGTACGATACTAACCTGACTCACTCAAATGTCAGTTATTCTAATTAGTTCAAAAACTACACTTTTCAGGTGAGTGTCTTATTTGAATATTTCAACAGTATAATGGTGAAAAGATGGCCGCGCAACTCGCTGCGCTGGTCCCGCAGAGGTCCACCCATAAGTTCCGCAATAATCCACTCATTTGTACTTGAATAACAACTTATTATATAAAATCAAAATTTGTAAGATTATTCACTTTTTGTCAATTTGCCTTTCATCAGGAATGTTACTTAACCAAACTAGTAACATAATGTGACAAGTTATTCAAGTACAAACGAATGGATTTTCCGGAATTTATGGGTGGACCTCTGCGGGACGAGCGTAGCGAGTTCCGCAGCCATCTATTCACCAATATGTTGTTCAAGTACATACCTACTAACTTGATTCTCTCAGTTGTGAGTTTTTCTCATTAGTTCAAAAACTACATTTGGATGAATGTCTTACTTAAACAGTTCAACAGTATATTGGTGAGTAGATGGCTGCGCTCGTCCCGCAGAGGCTCACCCATAAGTTCCGCAATAATCCACTTATTTGTACTTGAATAATAACTTATATAAAGTCAAAAATTTGTAAGATTATTCACTTTTTGTCAATTTGCCTTTTATCAGGAATTAGTAATGTTACTTTACCAAACTAGTAACATAATGTGACAAGTTATTCAAGTACAAACGAGTGGATTGTTCCGAAATTTATGGGTGGACCTCTGCGGGACGAGCGTAGCGAGTTCCGCAGCCATCTATTCACCAATATGTTGTTCAAGTACATGTCTACTAACTTGATTCTCTCAGTTGTGAGTTTTTCTCGTTAGTTCAAAAACTACATTTGGATGAATGTCTTACTTGAATAGTTCAACAGTACCTATATTGATGAGTAGATGGCTGCGGAACTCGCTGCGCTCGTCCCGCAGAGGTTCACCCATAAGTTCCGCAATAATCCACTTATTTGTACTTGAATAATAACTTATATAAAGTCAAAAATTTGTAAGATTATTCACTTTTTGTCAATTTGCCTTTTATCAGGAATTAGTCATGTTACTTTATCAAACTAGTAACATAATGTGACAAGTTATTCAAGTACAAACGAGTGGATTGTTCCGGAATTTATGGGTGGACCTCTGCGGGACGAGCGTAGCGAGTTCCGCAGCCATCTATTCACCAATATGTTGTTCAAGTACATACTAACTTGATTCCCTCAATTGTGAGTTTTTCTCATTAGTTAAAAACTACATTCAGATGAATGTCTTACTTGAACAGTTCAACAGTATATTGGTGAGTAGATGGCTGCGGAACTCGGTGCGCTCGTCCCGCAGAGGTCCACTCATAAATTCCGCAATAACCTACTCATTTGTAGAGGATATTTTTTTTTATCACCATTATCACCAAGAACAGTGGAATGAATAAGCGTAAATTGTGGAGGAATTACAGATTATTTTGCATATTCATTTGAATAATTTTTGTCAATTTTGACAAAGGACTCCGCAATATTTAAACGGAAATTGGTTACCCGTGATATTTGGATGAAATTTAAAAATGTTATTGGGGATGGCGTAAGCAACATTTTTTACCATGGGCGCAACCTTGTATATATGACAGGTGAGGCGGTATCGGCTGTCAAATATTGGAATTTATTATTCAAAAGCAGGGTAATTATTGCAGATTTCGATGAAACAAGTATCGATTCCTACTAAGTCGGCCAAGGTAAATCGCAAAATGTCAACCATTTTGACATCTGTCAAAACCCTGCCAAACGGCAGCACTCATATTTTTCAGTTTTCAATATTTCATGATGTGTCATTTGACAGTTTTAGCTTATGTAAGTTCTGAGTTAAAAATTGGAAAAAAAATTACAGAACTGTCAAAACCTGTCATTTATTCTAGTAGGAAAAAATATTCATCTCTGGTTCTTTCTTGTTGTAAGGTAGTCTATTGGTAATAAAACATCAAGCAAAGCTCATCGACATCAAATTGTGACAGCTGTCAAAATCTGAAACCTGTGTGTGTATAAATTCTTTTTATGCTTCATAATAAATAAGCATAACTTAAATAATTGGAACAGAACTAGAGTTC